TTATCTCAATATAGAAAAGAATTTTTTGTTAACGATTTAGCTTATTCTGAATTTGTTGGAAGGGTAAAAAAAAAATCTGAAGAACTAAGTCATTTAAAGTAAGTGAAAAAATATTTATTACATGTTATATGCACATATTTAAATATTATTAATTAAAATTAATATTTTAGAGATTGGCTTTCAAAAAATTACAGTACAGCTCAAGAGCAATTAAAAGCTCACGAACCATTAAGAGATGAAATTAAAAAATTAAAGTATAGATTGTGCAATGAGCTTGATTTGAAAAAAATAAAATGGGATTGCGGTTGGAACATATCTCATTTCAAAGGGTCTTTGCAAAGTTTGCTCATTTTATACGAACATCATCCGCAGGAACTTAAATCTTTGTCTGGTAAATTAAAAATTTATTTTTTTTTATTAAAAACTTCTTGTTTTTATTTTTTTAACTCTTTCAAATGAAAAAAATAAATTTTTAAATTTAAAACACAGTCAGTTAATGTTCTTTTTGAAGTTTTTTTTTTTTATTCGATTCAAACATTGGAGTCATTGTAAACAATGTAAGAATTTATTTATGGTGCCATAAAAAGAAAATAAAACTATATGCAGCAAACTTTTTATTTATCAAAGTCTTTTATAAATTTATTTGACTTGGTTATATACTTTTGTAATATTTTTTTTTATTTTAGGTAAAACATTAATTTTCGGTAACGAAACCGGAGTAAATTTAGACGGTGACGTCATGCTCAATTGTGGAGAAGTTCGTAATAATTGGTTGGATGTGAGTTACTTTCATTTAAAAATTTCTTTTTTTTTTTTAAATAGTTCCACGATTAAATTTCTTTTTCTTTTTTTTTTATCATTTAATTTAGGTGATAAAAAATATTCACCGTCAGGATAAGGTTATTTTAAAATTACCACAGTTTGAAAAAGCTGTTTCGAGAGTATTAAGAGATATTAAAGTAGTTCATCGTAAATTTCAACCCAAAGTCACGGCTGAAAAATATGAAAATCAATTGAGGAGACTCATAACTTCGTTAAGTGATTATCAAGGTCGTAATGGTTATCCTAAACATTGGCCAGAAAAATTAAACAAGTTTGAATTGGTTGTTGAAACGTAATTATTATTATCTCACTGCATTTTATTATCAATATTATTATTCGTTTAAAAAAAAAAAAAATTTTTTTTTTCATTACAGGGAAGCAGGACCTTTAATGGTGTCACCTACCGGACAAATAATCGTTCCTTCATCCTGCCCTGCATCGATTTTGGTAAATTTTATAAGTGAAAATTTAGAAGAAGCCAACAGATTATTAGACGAATATAAAAGGTTAACATTTCCCCCCCCACCCACCATGTTTTTTTTTTTTTTTACCATTAAAGTACCTTTATTTTTTGGTTTTTTTTTTTTAGCAATAAATACGTTGAAAAAGATATTCATTCAAGAGTAGTTTTAGAATTTCGTTTGTTGAGTTTGAGGAAAGATGACAATATAACTCCTAAATTAATGATCGATTGTTGCAACAATATGTTAAAACATAAAAATATTTTGAAGCCATTATTAAATAATTCTAGTCTATTTATCACGTCGTATTTTTCCTTACTTTCGGATGGACAAATGTGCATCCCATGGAATTGGAAAATTTAAAGTTTGAGGAGCAAAAATCGAATGTTTTGATTTTACACGATTTTTTCTAGTCTTTAATTATTATTTTAATTTTTTTTTAGATTTTAATTGATTTTTTTTTTAAACGTGTTATCAATATTTTTTTGTGTTGGGTACGTATACGATGTAAAAAATGCGAATTAATCAAACCTAGGTCTTTCATTTTATTATATATATATACAAGAATTGTTAAGTAGTATTCATAAAAAAAAATTAATAATAATAATAATAATGAAGCAGTAGTATTATATATATCACGTAATAAAGTAATAATTTTTGTTAAGTATTATTTACCTCAAAGGAAATTAATTTTATTAGAAATAAGTGAGTTCAATTAAGATTTTTATTTAGTTTAGGTTTTTGTTTTTATGTAAGAAGATTTTATTGTTAA